GTCATCAATTGACATTTCACCATTTTTGAAATGGGAAAACCACTCAAACACTTGAGTTTTCCCCATAGTATCGTCCTTGTACGCCGTTTTTAACATTTCAAGAGTTTCTGTTCCACTTTTCCCAAGCAAAAAGCAGAATTTCACCGCCACACGCTGTTCATGAAAATCAGCCATTGCAAAAACGATGATCACATAAAACAGTTGTCACTATAAACTCTGCCGAAACTAGTCCTTACCTTCTGAAGCAACGGTAGTCGGCTTATTGACTCAGGAATGTTAGCCCTATGCGCTCATAGCGGCAAAATGTGGTACTACAAAAGCTCTGCCCACAAAAAAATTAGTTCAATTTCTTTTGGGTACCCCATCGTGTGTATATATATATATATATATTGTAACCCGTTGGCAGTACCGACTACTTGTGTCGCGAACCTTAAACTGAAGATCACGTTGCCAGTCGTCTCCCTCAGGCGTAGTAGTTCCTCCACGTCCTGTTTCCTTATGCCCTTGCTGCTTTTCCGTTGTGGCTGACGCCGCCTCCCGGACGTCTGTCCTGTCACGGTTCCAGTCCTTCCTTTCCCAGCTTCTTGCCCAGCATTGACCCTCGTTGAGCATCTCCTTACGGGATCTCCCTTGCGCCGTGTCGCACCTGCACGACTAGTCACATTGCTGTCGGCAGCCAATTCGTGCCATGGGCCACAATTTCCTTGGGTCGTAGATTTCTTGAAGATTTGGTGTTTGCGCCATGCCATTGTTGCGCGGCGGGACACCTTCCTGTGGACGACGGCCAACTTCATCTGGGGTCCACGACTTCTCCGCGTCGGATTCTTCATGTTCCGTCGATGTCGGTCCCTGCGCCTTTTCTTCTTCGGTTCTCCGACCGGCATTACTTCGGCGTCTTGTACGGGTACCTCTTGTAATTCTGCCACCTCAGGTTTCCTGTTCGCTGAGGCCAGATCTTCTTCTTGGCGTGCCTCCATTACTAGGCAGGCCATCGTCGCTCCAACCGGTATCACTATGGGGACCTCTTCTTGTTGGGCCACCGCTGCTGGGGTTGCTCTCGTCTCCGCGGAAGTCTTTTCTCGCCAGGCGGCCATTTCTTCCCGCCAGGCTTTCGAGTCGGCGTTCATTCTGGCTAGGAAATCCTTA